TTACTGTCACAACTTCTCTCAGTGACAGACTCTGAAAAGTGTCCTTTAGTATATGTATTTCTGGCCTTTTCCTGTCACATTTTATTTTCTGCCTTCCATCGGGTTAGCTTTCCTCTTTCATACATACCCACTTCCATTACATTCTATATAGATGCATAGGGCCTTTAAATCACATATAAAGCCCTCAAACTATAAGTCACAATAATCTGTCTTCTCTTTGTATAACATAATAATTGAAGCACAGTGACTTATAGTAGTGAATTTCGGCAGAGAGAAAACAAAATATCCTAAATTCACATTGTCACAAGATGCCCTTTGTGAAAAAAAGACATACCAGATTAAAATAAAAAAATTGCAAAGGCCTCTCTACCACTAAAAAATGCTGTTTATTGGAGCTTTAGTTACAGCATTCAGTACATGGGAAGCTTAGGTATGCAGCAACAGATAAGTGGATAGTGAAATTGTGACAATCATACAACTTACAAGACATATATGAGGAGTTCCTGTCCTTGGGTAAAATATGGATGTAATTATGTCCAATAATTAGGCCCTAATGTTTGTATAATCTCTCATTATAGAACCAACAGCAGGACAATAAGCATTTAAAGCATAAGCCCATGAAGATTTTTGATACTCAGACCTTAAAGTTTTGCCCACTATCCAAAAGTGTCATGCATATTTTGTATTGTAAAATTCCTGTATTTCAGCTTCAAGAGTCAAAACATACTTTTCCAACACTGTTTCAAAGCCCATTTTCAATAGGAGGGCAAGATAGGGGACAGAATTTGGGGAAGGGTAGTACAACATTATAGGCCTAATGAAAAGATTCTTCCTAAAATAAATACATATATTAATGGAATTTTAATTTAAATTGAGTTACCATTTAACAACTGAAAAAATGTATTTTAAAGTGTCCACATGTACACACACTTCATGATATGATGGTGGTTACTAAACATTTGTTGTAATATAAAGTGGGAAAATATATCAAAAATATGAAATAAGAAATATTTAAGATGAAATAAAACTAATTTACAACACAGTCACAGAGAGAATCAGGGCAAAGACAAGGGAAGAGCAGAGAAGGCATGACCAAGGAATGCTAACCAAGGCATTGGGAAAGGGAGAAACTGGCAACATTTGTAATGAGAGCTTCCTTTGTCTCTTGTCCCAGCTGGACCTGCTGCCCTTGAGCCCCAAATAAACATACATTGCTATATTAATTATAAAATTATTGGTCGATAACTAGAGTTTCTTATTGGCTAGCTCTGGCTTAATTATTAACCCATTTCTATTAATCTTAGTATTTCCACATGGTCTTATCTTACTGGAGAAGTTTTGTCATGCCCTACCTTCCCAGTCTCACATGGAGTGTGTTATCTGTTTACACTTCCCACAATTCTCATTTCCTAGGCCTTGCCTACCTGCCTGTCTCTATTGGCCAGGGTGTTTTATTCATCAACCAATAAGAGACACATACAGAAGGAATTCCCCCATCATCTTCTCTTTTCTGTCTAAATAAAAATAAGGGTTTTATCATTTTTTCTTTTTTTTGTTTCTTGGTATCCTTTTTCTTTTTTTATTTATTTTTAAATTTAAATTTTGATTAGAAACAATGTTGCTTCACAAGGCAATTCCAGGTCCCTCTCTCTTTCCCTCTCCTCCTCCCATACCCTCCACCACCCCCCCAAATATCTTCTCATTTCCCCAGGGAGGGTGAGGCCCTCATTGTGGGTGTCCATAGTCTGTCATTTCATCCAGGGCAGGGCCTAGACCCTCCCCCAAGAGTTCAGGGTGAGAGTGCACCTCACATTTTTGGATGGGAGTCCAAAGTCCATGTGTATACCCGGGATGAATACTGATCTACTGCCCAAGGTTCAATAGATTACCTAGGCATCCACACTGACACCCCCATTCAGAGGGTCTTGATCAGTCCCATGCTGGATTCCCAGGCATCAGCCTGGGATTCAAGAGTTAACCCTTGCTCAGGTCAGCTGTTTCTGGGGGTTAAACCAGCCCAGTCTTAATCCCTTTGGTCATCAGTCCTCCCTCTCTGTTATTGGCTTTCTTGAGTTCAGCTCAGTGCTTGGCCATGGGAGTCTGTCTCTTCTTCTATCAGCCACTGAATGAAGGGAATGGTTCCCAGAATCTCTGGCCATGGGATTGTAGGCTGGCACTCCCCAGATCTATGTCTAAAATCCATATATGAGAGAGTACATGCCATGTTTCTCTTTTTGTGACTGTGTTACCTCACTCAGGATGGTTTCTTCTAGTGCCATCCATTTGCCTGCAAATCTCAGGATTCCATTGATTTTTCTGCTGAATAGTACTCCATTGTGTAAATGTACCACATTTTCTCTATCCACTCTTCGGTGGAGGGACATCTAGGTTGCTTCCAAGTTCTGGCTATTACAAAAACTGCTGCTATGAACATAGTGGAACAGACATCCTTGTTGTTTGCATGGGCATCTTTTGGATATATGCCTAAGAGTGGAGTTGCTAGGTCTTGTGGTAGGTTTATTCCCTATTTCAGAGGAATTTCAATACTTCTTTCCAAAGTGGCTGAACAAGATGGCACTCCCACCAGCAATGGAGGAGTGTTGCACTTTCACCACATCCTCTCCAGCATAAACTGTCATTGGTGTTTTTGATTTTAGCCATTCTGACTGGAGTGAGATGGTATCTCAGAGTTGTTTTGATTTGCTTCTTCAATTCCTGTCCTCCTTTCTGATGTAATTGCTGTTGCCAGGAGCAGTTACCTCTCACTGTCATGAGATACCCTAAACCAATTTAAATGTTATATTCTTTAGTTCTTTGAAAGATTTGAAGAAAATCCATTTCAAATATATCTCTGTATATCCACAAAATCTAACTAAACTAACTATAAGTTTTATAATCATTGTTGACTAGATATAATCTGTATTTAATTATATATGACATTTTGAAAAGATCTGTATAAACACAATACCTAAACAAGAGGAGAAACATACATATAACAAAATTGACCTTAAAATATGATTCAATAAGCCAAAATCCATACCAAATTTAAGTATTCATTTCTATATCATATTCCCCTTTATTCCTTTAGAAAGAGATTCTTTGTGATCACTAAAAATTCATACCCAACCCCATTTGAATGAAACAAACATTTATAAACAATATTGGGAATATGGGCACAGTTTTCTCCAAACTGCTTCCTGCTGTTTGGAAGTGCTGTCAATTCCATGGTATCCTGTGAAAACACAGAAACTTGGCCAAATCCTGTCTGTAGTAGTCTGCAAGGTTGCATTGCCTTAGGTGACTTGGATGCTGTATCACATAGGACACTGCTTCAGAGAGTCCTGCTTTATCAAACTACATTAGTCTGAAGAAATCCATAGCTTTCCATTTTCTGTGGAAAAAAAATAGAACACCTTTTCCAAAGTAACATTTCCTTAGACTTAAATTTTGAAGTCAAAGCATTTTTCAAATATATATGCTGGATTAATTTAGCAGAATTGATAATCTTTTAGCAGTTGTTGCTCCTTCCCCAACAATTAAACACTTCAAAGACAACACAATATCATACAGTATCTAAACTCTCTGTGTGCTTTCTGTCCTACATGGCTTTCTTATTACCCTATTTCGTTGTTTTAAAGGATTTTCTCTATCCCTCTTCTTTTTTCTCCCAAATCTCTGTGTATTTTTAAACACACTATAAACCCTCTAGAGGTTTTTCTTTTTCCCTCTGAACCAGGCTTTACTATATATCTTAATCTTTTTCTAACCACGAGTCTTTTATCTGCTAAACAACAAGTCTAAGGAAGCCATGTGGTGGTTTTTGTAACTTATGCTGAGTCAGGAAGCCTCTCTTAAAGTAGTCACACACTTCTGATTGTCTCCAGCAAACAGTGCCCATCTAAGAAAATGCTGCTACCAAGAAGTCATGCTTTCCTCTATTCTTTTGTTTTTAAGACAACCTTCTTAAGCTTTTCCGAAGTTATACATGGAAATTTGTGCTGCATATTGATAGCACGATTTTGTTAGCATGAGTTTTCCGGCCTGTCAGGGTTCTGCCACCCATCTCAGCCCCAAATAAACACACAGATGCTATACTAGTTATAAAACTATTGACAGGTGACTAGGGCTTCTTAGTGGCTAGCTTTATCTTAATTATTAACCCATTTCTATTAATTTATGTATTTCCACGTGATCTTGGCTTACCAGAGAATGCCGGATGTGTTTGATCTTCCCATGCTCACATTGCGAATCCTCTCCCTATGCCTGTCCCAGAATTCTCCTCATAAGGTAGCCCTGCCTAACCTTCCTGCATGGCCACTAGCCACACAATGTGTTATTTATCAACGAATAAAAGAAATGTATACGCAGAAGGGCAACCCCATCAGATATTCTCTTTCCACCTTCAAGTGTGCTTGGATGTTAATGTGTAAAACCTGACATTTTTTCAATGTTGAATATAGTAGATACTTGAAGTTAATGACTCAAACTGTGGGACAGAGATTTAGAATTATCAGTCTTAAAGATGCATATTTGTTTACTAAGCGATTTATATAAGGAACATTTTAAAATTGTACATATATTCTAAAATGTGAAGACATTAAAGTAAACCAGAATTGTGGGAATTTCAATTCATTTCTCTTAACATTTAGAAAACAACTTGTAAAAAAATAGGGACATTTCTATAATATGTAGTATTTATTTAGTCTTTATCAGTTTTGATGACCAAAGAAATCCTGACCTTCCTGCACTGTTTTGGGCTTTCTTTGGAGGAAGGAGTTTGTCTACAGTGCAAGCTGCCCTGGGCCCTAGTGATTTGATCACAAGTATTACACATAAGGCAACTTTAGGATGCTGTAGTCAGCAATTGTTTAACAAGCCCATTTCACCCAATATCTACAAATGACAATTTTGTCAATCAATTGAGCAAAGTTATGAAAATGGGCAACAGAGATGAAGGCCAAGGTGATTCTCAAAGCAAATTTTTCTGCTCAAGGATTCACCTAACTACTACACCAGACTGTTTCCTGCTCTCCAGGATTTCCTGAAGAATGCCTTTCTCTACTTTCCTCCTCAGGAGTGTCCTGCATGGCTCTTTGCAACATAATCTTCAGAGTCTTCCGTTGCAGCCTTCGGTGCCTAATGGAACCAACAAGGAAGTAAATGATGGGGTTGGCACAGCTGTTAACACAGGATAGTAAAGTTGTTATTTCAAAAACATTGCAAGGAAAAATTCCATGCAACTCCTCAAGGGAATCTAAGAGGAACCAATAAATACCAAAGGGCAGACCAAAGAGTAAGAAGACCAGCACTGTGATTGCAATGGTCACATACAATCTGGTTACAGGAATCCTCTGTGAGCCACAGAAGATCCTGACCAACAAGGCCAGGCTGGATCCACAAAGAACCACAAATAATACTATTACAAATGCAGCAGTGATGAAACTATAAGTCCTACAGTGAAAAATTTCATATCTAATCAGTAAGCCACAAGCCTCTCCTAACAGGAGGCTTAACAGTAAAGAGAAGGCCCAAAACAGGGCACACATGACAGATGATGTGTGTCTTGGTCGTTGACAGTGATACCAGATGGGCCACAAAACGGACAGAGCACGCTCAGCACTGATGGCTGCAATCATACACAGACCTGCAAGGTAAGCAAAGATTAGTACATTGAGGAGGGAGATGGGAACATCGAAGTAGCTGATATGGAACATTAAAAGGACACGATGCAGGGAATGCAGAGTCTGAAAGCAAAGGTGGAGGAAGTCAGCCCCAGCAAGGTTGAGGACGTAGACAGAGAAGGCGTTCCTGTGCATATGGAATCCCAGAAGCCACAGCACAATGGCATTTCCTGCCAGCCCAACCACGGCAATGATGACAGTGAGAATATTCAGGATATTGTACATGTCGGTACAGTGCAAGTTTTCAATGAAGTCATTTTCATTAATTGTTGTTATGCAATTGTTCCAGGTTGGTATAGTTAGACCCATGCTTGGAAATTTTCCACTGGTATTCCTACAAAGTAAATTGAGATGTGAATGCATGATACTTTCTGTCAAGTCCACAGGCTTGCAGAGATTACATATTTTATCAAACCCCCAAAGTGCTAGGCATTTCTTTTTAATCCAGTTTGTACTATGCAGTCTATCTTCAGACTATTGCCTCTAGTGATATTGGTGTAGTTGGTTATGGCAGTACAGCTGCTAAACATCTTATGCAGTGTCAGGAAGAGACAGAATTCTGACACTAACTTTCTTTCTGTTCCAGGGATGAGGTTCCTTCTCAGATGTAGGAAGATGGAAGATCCTGGCACAAGTCATAGCTTCCCTCAGTCACTGTAAGGGGTCTATCAAATGGGAAAAATGGAACAATTAATGAAAGTCGTGAAGGGAATGGCACTTTTTAGGAAGACCTGTGTGTCAACAGTCACACTTCTTAGCCTAGAAGGACATAAAGCACTTTTCTGTTTGTTATTATATCATCAGTGTCCTACTCTCTACATGGTTTTATGGGAGAGTTGAGAGATCTGCCCCGAACAAACAAACAAACTAAAGAAGTATAACAAGTAAGCAAATGAATCATAAGTTCAAGGGTAGTTGAAAATTTGGAGTAAATGTTGTTTGGGTTGTGACTTGTACCTTCGTGCGAAGGCACATGTCTCTGGCATGAGAAATGTGGGCTATATTGCAGCAGAAAATGAAGAACATCTGCATTCGGGAATAGTGTCCCAACCCCTGAGAAGAGCTTTGAGATCTACATATGAATGCAAACAGTCTAGAAAAGAGAACAGCATAGCTGGGTGGGTAGCATCATTTAGAGTTATCTTTTCACTCCACTCCCCCATACAGACACCCTTAATAGGCCTTTATTTCTAGCTCCTAAGGCAACAGAGACATTTGAAGAAAACAGCTTTTCTGTCCCACACGGGCCAAGGGTGCAGAATGAGGGATGTTCCTGTGCTTGCATTAGCTTAGCCTGAACAGTACCCATACAGAAAGTTTTGCATCATAGGATCATTCTTGATAACTTCTTATTCTAGACAGAGGACTTACTGAAGGAGAAATCATCTGATAATGCTGAGACAGAGCTCCATGCTCAGGGAAAGCATCCAAAATACCTTACAAACTAATCTCACACAAGGGCTTTGAAGAAAATCACCTAACAAACTCAGTTGTGTCAACCAAGGTCACACCATCCATTCTTGGAGCCTTGATCACCCCATAGGAGCACAAGATTTTCATCCAGGCAACAATTTGGGGAATCAAAAGCTTAAAATATGTAGACAGGTACTAGGTAAGCAGCTGACTCTCAAAATTGAAATTGCTGACGATGGTAGCATGGCAGGGGCGGGTATAATTGTTCACCAATGCACATTTCAGCTTCATGAAATGGAACCAGGAGCCAAAATTGGATCAACTCAGCTTCAGCTCCCATTCTGACTGGTTTTGTTTGTTAGCATTTTTCTAGTCAGTGGGAGACGTTGGTTCTGAGTGTGATTTGAATTATAGAGGCCTGCCTAAAGATGTTTCAGAGGAGAAGAATGTTAGTTTGTTGCCTAGAAATTATTCTTGTGATATTTTGGTGAAGAATATGTCTGCTTCTGCTTTCTGCCCTTGTCCAAAAGTACACCTAAGCCTAAATTGAAGTGTTTTGCATTAATTTCATTGGCAGAGGAAATCTTAAGACAGGCTAATATCAACTCTGTCTTGTTGCTAGTAGAGTTCACTTTTATGAAGATCTAAAATGAAAAGGAGCAAGCTGAGCAAAAAAAGTTACAAAATGTACAATTTGAGGAGAAAATGGGTACCAGGAAGTGTAATGGAGGTAAGTCTTATTCTCAAGTACATAAACAGATTAAAGAAAAGCCTGATATTAAAAGGAATAAAGGAAGTGGTGAACTAAGAACAAGACCCACATAGCTAAGTTTCCAACGTGTGAAAAGATGTTAAAGAGTAGCTTATATCCAGGCATGGTGGTACGTGCTTTTAGTTTCAGCACACAGGAGACAGAGGCAGGTGGATCTCCTAACTCAAGGCCAGCCAAGTCTACAGATTGAGATTCAGGACAGTCAGTTTTAGGCAGTGAAGGAAACTATCAAAAACAGGAAGCTGGTGAAGGTATGAGGGGTCATGTTACAAACGCAGCAAGCAGTGGAACTTGGCAACTTTGGCCATGTTGTTCTAACTTACAGTCAAAGATAAGAGAAAGGTTATGGCATCTCCCTCTGCAGCAATAGAAAGTATCTGAGTCCAGGCATGTATCAGGAGTGTCCCTGAATGTAGGCCTAGAGAGTCAATTGTGGGAAGATGTTAATGTGAAGACTGGAATGTTTCTGGAGATGCCAGTGTTGTGGGACACATGCCCAGGAAATCTGTTAACAGGGAGTTGAATCAGCCCAAGAAAAGAAGTATGTTGCAGTCAGCAAAGCTGAACAGAGTTGGGGATTTGACTTGTGTTTTGATATTGAACAGGGAGATGAAGGGTTTAGTGTTTGCCCAGCTTGTTTTCCTTTGGTTTGGTCCAGTTTTTCTCTATGCACCCTTTCTTCCATTTTTGGAATGGTAATATATATCATGTGCCATAATGTGTTGGAAGTATGTGATCTCCTTTCTCATTTTGATTTTATAGGAAAGTAAGAGATTGGCATGAGTCTTGGAAGAGACTTTGGACTTTAAAACATGTTTGACATTGTTTAGACTTTGAGGACTTTTGAATTTGGACTAAATGCTGCAATCAGGGTTTGTGTGGATTCTGGGATCTAATCAGCCTCCTGGGACAATGTTGGTATCCAAGGGTCATGACACATTTGCGGCCATGTAGACCAAAGTGGCACATTCTGCTGTCAGGTGCCATGGTGATGTCTGGCACTAGGGCTTCCACTGGGAGCCATGTCTAGTACCATGGCCCTACTGCAGACAGGGTGTCTATTGTTGTCCATGGCTCCTTTCATCATGAGGGACATGCAGGTCACTCACTTCATTCCAGTAGTGAGGTACATTTAAAGTGTGTATCTAGTGTTGGTTGTTATTTGCAGCCTCAGATGAGTGGAACTATTGAGACAATGTTTTATTGCACCAAATATGATTTTTTCCTACTGTCAACTGTTCTTTCATCCATGCCACCCTCAAAAACCTTGTGATGTTTTGAAACTTGTACAACCACTGTGGAAATCAGTATGGAGATTCCTCAGGAAAATGGGAATCAGTTTAGCACAAGATACAGCAATTCCACTATTAGGCATATACCAAAAAGATGTACATTCATACAACAATAGTAGCATTATTTGCAATAGCCACAATCTGGAAGCAAACTAGATGCCCCTCAACTAAAGAGTGGACAGAGAAAAAGTGGTACATTTACACAATGGAGTATGACTCTGTGGGGAAAACGATGGAATCTTGAAATTCACAGGCAAATAGATAGCACTTGAAGAAACCATCCTGAGTGAGGTAACTCAGTCACAAAAAGACAAACATGGTATGTACTCACTAATATATGCATTTTAGACATAGAGCGTAGGATTACCAGCCCACAGTCCACACTGCCATAGAAACTAGAATGCAAGGAGGACCCTAAGAGAGACATATATGGTTCTCCAGACAAGGGGAAAGGGACAATATCTCTGAGCTAATTGGGAGCATGGGGATGGGAAGAGGGAGCTAGGAGAAAGAGAAGGGCAGAAGATGAGGGGAGAGGAGGACATCGGGGAGCAGGAAGGTTGAGTAGGGGGAAGAATAGATGAGAGCAAGATAAGAGATACCATGATAGAGGGAACCATTATAGGTTTAAAGATAAATCTGGCATCAGGGCAATGTCCAGAGATATACAGTGATGACCTCAACTAGCAATATAAGCAATAGTGGAGAGTCTACCTTAAATGCCCTTCCCCGATAATAAGATTGATGACTACTTTATATGCTATCCTAGACCCTTCATCCAGTAGCTAATGGAAACAGAAACAGACATTCACAGCTAAACACTGAACTGAACTCCTGGAATCCAGTTTCAGAAAGGGAGGAGTGATGAGCAAAGGGCTCAACACCAGGTTGGTGAAACACACAGAAATCACAGACCTGAACAAAATGGAGCTCATGGACCCCAGACTGATAACTGGGAAACCAGCATAGGGCGGATCCAGACCCCCTGTGTGTGGGTAACTGTGAGGAGGTCTCAGCAATCTATGGGGCCTCTGATAGTAGAGCAGTATTCATCTCTAGCAAAAGAATGAACATTGGGAGCCCATTCCACATAAAAGGATGCTCTCTCAGCCTAGACATATGGAGGAGGGCCAAGGCACTGACCTAAATGATATTACAGACTTTGAAGATCCCCAATGGATGCCCACATCTTCCTTGGAGAGCATAAAGGGGATCTGATAAGTATAACATGTAGTCTTCCCACCAGCCACCTGGGTCCTGTCACCATTTAGCCCCAAATAACACACGAAAAACTATATTAATTATGAAGCTGTTGACCATATACTATGGTTTCTTAATGGCTAGCTCTGATGTAATTATTAACATATATATAACATATCTTTGTGAGGATGGCATCCTGACCTGTCCTTTCTTCCCCGGGATCACATGGTGATGATTCTCTTCACTGCCTTTCCCAGAATCCTCCTAGACTTCTATTCCCACCTATCTTGATTCCCTATTGACCAACAGTGCTTTATTCATCAACATATACACAGAAGGACTTCCCCCATCATCTCCTCTTTTCTGTCTATATAAAAAATGGTTTAACTTTAACATAGTCAAATTATACATATAAAAGAACAGTTATCAGGCAAGAACTATAGTTACAATATTTTGTCTATTAACATTTCGTAAGATTTAAAGAAAGGATTATCTATCCTATCCGTGTGAGTCTAGAGTCTTATATGTAGCTTATGTTTTATCATAACTAAGGAAAACTATAATTATAACTATCCATCTTCAACTCCATCAAAGAACACAGAAGGATACTATATAAACACTAGAATTGACAGAGACATCTCACTACGTGGACAGTCACCTGAAGTTCCTCTGTAACATTGGGGCATTCATCTT